TTGTTTTCTTAGAGAAGCTACAAGATGCATAAGACATCTCATAGTTTCCTCTGTTCCACTCAACTCAATTTAAGTGGAACAGAGGAAATGCGAATACTGTGCCAGTAGAGAAAGGAGGTGGACTATCTCATTCCAAATAAGGAATTAATGTCAGTTCTAAAAATATTTTAGAATGAGTTCTTTGGATGGAACAACACCCTACTCAGAACTCTTCTCATTTATATAGAAATTATAAGTTTGTCATTTATATAGAAATTATAAGTTTGTCAACAAACTTTAGGGTTAAGCATTCTAAGGGCATTGTTAGAGGTTAGAAATAGATTTTAATCAAGTCAAATTTGAAACAGCCTTTTGAACAAACAAATCTATAATAAAAATTGTTCAAATTGTTTTCTCTTTCTCTTTGCAAAAGATATTTGCAGCACATAACCCATTTGTACAGTTGTCTTCTGCACAGTGCAAAATGTTTTGACTAACTCTTTGTTTTTGACCATGTTTCAAGAAATTCCTGTGTCACGAAAACATGGTTCAAAACTGGCACAAATTGTGTTATTTATAATTCACCCCAACTAGTCCTTGCAGGCACTTACATTTTAACATTCTGTCAGTAGAGATATACTATAATGGGGGGGTGGGGGAGGGGATGGGGAACAAACATCTTTTTTGAAAAGGAGGCAAGTGGTAAAGTTGACGAATCCTGGAATATGGAGGTTTACATTACTTTTAGATATACAAATGGCTTCAGTAAAACAGAGTTCAGAGGTTGCTTATTGATGTATATTTACAAGATGATTAGTTTGAAATTTTGTTTTTGCTAACATGGAATATCTTTGACATGCAACGTATGACGTAAGTGAGAAAGTAATACATTTTGTGATAACCTGTGACCTGAAGCATATGGCATCATATATCTTTTTTTTCTTAGCTGATTGCCGGGAAAACTAATGTACACATTTTGCGACTTTTTAAGTCGGAAGAAAACCCTAAGACTAGAAAGTGTCACCACAGATAAAGCTAGGGTTTTTGCTCTCGATTACTATCCAGTGATTCCTGCTGGGAAAATACAGACATGTTTGAATGCCAGTTGAGACAACCAGTGAGGGACCACTGCATTGCTGGTTGCCTTTGAGGTATTGAGATATGAATTCCTGCGTTTAGGAGAGGAGGGAAGAAGCATGGAGTGAGATGCAGAGAGAGACAAAGAAACTTGCCCAGGGCGACACCTTGGGCAAGTTTCCTTACTCCACATGCCAGATAATAATCCCTCAAGAAAATAAATTTTAAAAAAATTTGGTCACTCAATCCAAGACTGTTTGTGGGACACTGCTGTGCACAATCGGCATCCGTGTTTCGCCCATAAAATATACAGTCGATGCACTTTACAGTATATTCTGTGAAGCGCTTTGAGACGACTGGAAGACGTGATATATCAAATACAAGGATTTTTTAAATTTAACAAAGCTAGCATTGCATTTGGCAGCTTCAGTGGAAAGTAACAGATGTTTATTGTGTAGTTGTTGTAATGGAGTGGATATATAGCTTCAAATTTCTAGATAATGTATTCATTATTTAGCCAAAAATCTGCATTTTTGGATGAGAATACAAAATCCTAACTGGATTTGTGTTCCTGCTAATGAATTTGTAGCAGATTTTTGGTATTAAATTTGGTTATTTGGTTATTAAACAGTCAATATTAAAAATATTAAAATTATTAAAATGGTTTAATGGATGCCCTAAGATATTTTAAGGGGCTGGTTTTAAGTAGATATTGAATTGAGTTGTGTTGCAATTAATATTGCAATGGTCCTAAAGAATGTTCCACAAAGCCATTTGAACGTGGTCTTAGCAACAGGGCTTTAGCATAATCCTCTTTGCAATCACGCATACCAAATACAATTATTACTTGTTTTTTTTCATAGTAAATCGGCATGACTGACAGGGACTAGAGTTAGACAATAAATTGTCAAAATATTGGAGTGGGGGTGGATCTGACTAACTAAACCAATTGTCTGTTTTCAGAAGTAAATATCCTCTTACTTTACATGTGCTACATAGTTGAAGTAGGTTTAATTGTTTAATTCCCACACACAGTGATTGCTATCACCGTCTCATGACTAGAATTATTTTTTTCCAATAATACTTTATAATATTAAAAAAAGTAAAAGTACAGTATCGCGAAATACTGCAGATTGACTTATTTTGGTTCAATCCCTGTTTCATGTGCAATTGAGTCCAAAATTATTAGCTCTGCAAACAATTGAACTAAACTCTATTTCCTTAATGAAGAAAACTTGGAGATTTAATACTCACGGTTATTTTAAATTCATGGGGATCTATCCCATGGCAATAAAATAACCATGAATATTAACCAATCTACCAGAGAATTTCAAGATGAGGAACCAATTAATGGGTATAGACAGAGCAACAGTATGTATTGTTTTTTTATCCTCAACAAACTGACTTGTGCCATCAGTTTCATGATGACCTGGAATTGCCCTTTTTGTTAGTCATTACATTAGCTGAGAATGTGAAGAATATTACAGCTATGACTGACTACACAACTGACTCCTTCCAGGCACAGGAGACTCATTATTATGTGATTATTATTATACCTGATTGTTTTGCAGTATCCACTGTCCAACTGCATCCAGGAGGTTAAAGGTACTCTGCTGATGAGGGAATCCACATTCTCATGTTTTCCAAAGGATTAGGAGCTGCATATAGAAAAATACAGAGCAAAAATTGCTGCTTTTTACCCAACTCATGATTCCTGAGCCCCTCTTCCCTGATCCATCTTGGCCATTTCCCTATTTACAGGGTTCCCACACCTATTTATCAGTTCCCACACTCCATTTACCAACTGTCACTACCCCATCTCACCATTTATCTTGCCCTCATCCTATCTTCTGCCTTGTTCATTCTCCTTTCTTGGGCCACTCGTTCCCTATTCTCCTCAACTGTGTCCCTCCCTCATGCCCATGCCCTAATCCTCATTGTTCTTCTTAGGAGGTAATTATTCACTTGTGCCACAAATCCAATCATCCACACTTTGCCTCATTGAAATTCATAGGTCTCAAATGCCAACTCTAAAATAAAAGCTTGCATTTAGTTGTGTAATACATCATCACATCTCAAAGTGCTTCACACAATAAGTTACTTTAAATTGTGGCAATGATTTGGAAAGTGTAGGAACTAGTCGTCAGATAGAAAATTCCACAAACAACAATGAAGTAAATGACAAAATGTTATCTTTTCTTCTGATGAATATGTATGAGAAAAAGGAATATTAGCTAGGATGTCTAAGAACTCCCAGTGCCTATTTGAGATTGTGCCCTGGGATTCTTAAGGTCCAACTGAATTTCGAGAACAGACAGACAGGCCTTGGTTCATTGTCTCTTCCGAAAGATGCATATAAGAAAAAAAATTCTAAGACGGAAAAGGAGCTTTTATTGCAATTTATCCTTTCAGTGCAAACATTACCTTCTTCAGCACCTATAAATTATGCCTGCTTTATATGGTACTGTGCTTTTTAACAGGATGTTGCACTGTCATGTTAAAACAGATAGTTATATATTATTTTAAAATTGCAATTTATGCTGTCTCAGTAATTGTGTATTTTTGAACTGATTGATTTTCAAACTGACTTGATATTGTTGGTATATAACAACACAGATCGGGCCTTAACACTTATAATATAATTTATAATATAACCCGCTTGCAACAAAAGGTAAGATGATCATACAACGCCAAGGACAAGTTCACAATAAAACATGTATGCTGACAAAGTTACTATCAATATCTCTTAGTAAAACAAGTCTTCATTTTATTAATGGGAAGATTTGTTTAAAGCCAGGATTTGCTCAAGTACTGCTTCATTCCCTACACATTCATTAACTGTTGGTTTATTACAGTAATTTATACGGCCGATGCTACATTTAGTGTAGAATTCTTAACTCAACAAGCTCATCCATTATTAGCTTTCTCCTTTGGGATAAACATGATGCATGTACAAGCAAGACATATTGGAGATAAAAACAAGAGGAAACTAAACACCTGTGTTAAAGATCTCCGATGCCTAATAATGGATTGAGTTCACATTTTACCTTTTGGCCTAGACAAAGACATTTCTCCAGAAGATGATTAATTTTAATGAAGCTTTATGAGGGAGTGAAGGTGATTTAGGAAATAATAATAGCAAACTAATAAAATAACTAAGGAGTATACTGTATTAAAATTAACTAAAAGTAGCTACACCAGGGTCAGATCATTGAATTTAAAAGTTATGTTGTTACATATTTTACATAGTAGTAAGATGAGATTGTTTTACTAGTTCATTTATAGTTCAGTTCAGTGAACCAAGAGAACCATCATATTGCCAAATCAAGCACTGCTGGAGGTTAACACCAACTCTGCAATGTTTACGTTTATGTATAGTTGACAGTAGCATTAGCCTTATTATATTGTCAGCAAGTTTAAAGATTTTGTTTGCACTTACTATTCCTTGGGCACATATTTATTCCTGTTGCTGTTCAACATCTCAAATTTAATGCATACCTGTCAAAAGAGTCTTCCCCTAAGCCCAGCAAGATGGAAATACCTCTACAAATTTATTGTGGCCCTGAGCAATAAAATTCAGGTACCTCAGTATTATTGCCTATACATAGATGAGCACCAGTTTTATAAAACTCGCTCGTACCACACTTTTCAAGTTTTAAAGATGCCTTATAGGCAAGCCAGAGTGCTTATACTGCAGAAGTGTTACACATATGCTCTTCAGTTTAATCTTCAATCTGTCACTGCAATTTGCAGTCAATGATTACCTTATTTATCAGTTTAATGACATTGCTGAAGCGGATTATAAAGCAGATAAACTTGGTAACATGACAACAAATATGTTTGGATCGAAAACTAGTAGATTACACACTTTTAATGTGCTTTTCAATGCATTAGATGATGTCTTTGTTTGTGTCTAATTGGGTGTTTCTGTAACTATTCCCTAGATAAAATTACATCACAAACAGTATCAATTGCTGAAAAACTCTCTGGAGACATGCCATGACCAGGTAAGCACACTGTACAATTCCAGCATATGTGCTACTGCGTAATTCTGTGTTCTGGCAAGTATATATTTATATTTCATATTATGTAAATAAGTGACTATATTTTCAGATCTATGAGTGACTCCTATATGTTGTGAGGTGTACCAGGTGATGCTTCTCTTAAACTTAAAGGTTCACTTACATTGATAAGAACCTACACTGCCCGTAGGCTACAGGAGCAACAAGTGCCAAATGAATGCCGCCCAGCTATTGAGACATTTTCCATGTGAAAGTAGTACAATGTGCTTTTTTTCACATATTTCACATTTTCACATGTTTAGGAATGAAATTGCTGCCAAATAAAATTACTTTCTTTGGATTTTTACTGGTTGTTGGAAACAATATAAAAATATGCAACATTACAAGATGGATCATCAAAACAACATGAAGAGTTTGCCTTATTGGGTCATTTATTAAATACAGTAAAAAGAGCAAATTAGTTGGACATGCTCTCCAGTTTTATTCAGTTGTTCAGAGGAGACCTATACCCTCCTATAATACTTGGAAGCACTGTATATTTTTAGATAAGACCAGATTTGCATGAAATTACTTTGTTTTTATTGCAAAATAAATTGTTTAGCAATGTAAACAATGTTCCCGAGACAATTCTGCACACTATATGAAATTTCTTAAAGTAGTTGAACAAAATTCTTGGAGAGGAAAACTAAAGAGCAAATAAAAATTTTGCATGGGAAAATGTAGCCATCATCTTCAGTAGCAAAAGATGCCTCAGTAAAATAAACCAACGATCAAATTTGCATAAATTTGCCATGAATAGGTTCAGCATCTTCTAAGTTGATTGCTGTCAGTGAGTTTAAATTTATAATTAAATCCTGGGGAATCTGATGATCATTGCTTTCTATTTGTCTAATTTCCTGTCTTTCTCTGCCTCCATCCCTCTCTTGCTTCCTCTCATTCTGTCTGTCTCTGTCTGTGCTTCAGTTTGCTTCCACTTTCACCCCCAATGAACAGTAGCTGAAGTGTGTCTAAATCTTACCCAAAACACCAATTTCAAATGAAAAATAAACAATTTCATGAAAGTTATAGAATTACATTTTGAGAAAATAGAGAATTGAGTCTAATATTACATTTAAAAAAATGTTTAGGTCTACTGTAACTGCTGACAACTATCTATAATATATATATTATGTATTATAACTGTCCTCTATAATAGTACAGCTCATTAGAAGATGTTTCTTCCTCTCTTCTATTCTCTTTTGATTGTCTGAGTAATGCAGCCTTATTGCTTGAGATACTTTGCTGCTGAGCTCCTGTAGTATAAACGAGGTAAACTCTGACCTTACCAAATTTGCAGCAGAAGAATCAGTTTCACATAAGATAAGGAGCGCAAATGGAGTATAACAAGTGACCTTACACTTGGCAGACAAGTGGCACTAGAAACAGTCACAGTAACTAAATGGAGAGTAAAGTGAGGCATGAAATGAAAGCAATTACCTTCACCATTGAGATTTAATTGTGCTTTAATGCAAAATGTTGGGAGTGGAGATGGGATTCGGAAAAAAATGTGTTAATTCCCATCAAAATAATTATGGTATGTGGTTCCACTAGAATTGTTTTAAAATGGATAAACAGCATTTCATGCATTTTGGTACTATATTTTTGTCTTCATTTTATTATTAGATTAGTATATCTATCTATATTACTGATATTTTGGTAATTGTAGCTTTAATGTTTAGGTCAGAACATTATTAATAGAGCTGAATAAAGTAGTGAAGTAAACAAAAGTAGGGTAATTTGCCTTTCACACCCTCGCCCCCCCCACCCACCACACACACACACACAAAATATTTGAAATGGCGACTTGAAAGCTCAAATGTAGCCCTTTGTTCTGTCAAAAAATAGAAGTGATTAGTTCAGAGAGAATTAACAGAAACGCTTTTTTATGGAAAGCTTTGCTTTTCTGCGTTGTTCGCCAGTTCTCTACTCATACTTACCAAGACTGTGCTTCCTTGGCATTGGGCTCTGGATTAGCTTTCAGGCTAGAGTCTCTGTCCAGTTAAACTAAATGAAGCTGTTCCAGAACGTAACAGTACTGCTCTCTGTAATACCTGAAGTGGGTTAGTTGCTGAAGTAATAAGTCTCAGAGAAGGAAGAAAAGCAAAAATTCTTTGCTGCAAGTAAAATATAATTCCATAGAATATTTTCTCCTTCTGTAACTAGGGGGAGTACTTTGAACTGAAACTAATCTCCCTGGACTTTCCTCCTCCTTTAATACTTTCTCTGTGTTGTTTGAATCCACCACCATGGCGACAATGGAAACAATTACAGAGAATGGATTGACTAAAAAAAACGAGAGAAATAACTGAAACAACCGATGATATAACCAGGATGGTACTTCTACATCTATTTAAATAAAATATGAGAATAGATGCTTTAGCTTCCAACCCTTTAGACCCCAAGTGACAACATATCATGAACAGCCATGTAGGATGATTTTAAACATGATTTTTCAGTTAATTGGCACTCTGCAGCTTCTCAATACATTCCAACTGATAAATCTTTACAAAATTGGTGACTTCAAAATTATTTTCATTTACGGACATTTGTGATTATATACAGGCAGTCTTTTTAGATACTTTTTATTATTGTCCAATTGATTTTATGCTGGTATTATCTCTGCTGTAAAAAAGCACTGTGTTTTAAGTGAATGCTTCTAGAATATTATTTGTAGTAAACAGGGTATTCAGTATGTAGCAATTACTTGAAATAGTAATGATAATCTGAAAAACTATTGTGTAATTAATCTGCTTGTGGATTAGCTAAAGTGCATGCCTACTAATCTTGTTGTGCATTAATTAACAGGTACCTTTAAATTAATCCTCGCTTAATTACCTTTCTCTCTGCAGTTAGTTTTGGGAAATTTAATAATAGCATTATTTAACATTCATGGATTATTATGTGATCTTGTCGAGTGCATGTTTTTGTCCAATTTCACGATGATCAGGTTGGCTGCAAAAGGCTTTTGATGGACAACAACTTCCTGTGTGGCTTACCAACTACCCACTGTTCTTTCCATATTTAAACTTCTTTGTTGCATAGACAGCAACTAGGAGATGTGGGCTTACCTCTTTGAATCCAGCTCTTCTCATTTGGTCATTGTGGGAGCACCTGCTGATGCTTTCCCTTATGGTATGGTTGAGATCAGCTGTTTGTTTCTGAGGATTTGTTATTGTGAACTTATGTCCTGACATATCACATGGTCAATTCCTTTCATTTTGTTTGCTGAGGTTCCTCTGTGTTTGCCTTTTGTTTCTTCGGTCTCTTTCTGACAATTTGAAACAACATCCACGCTCTCTAAATGTATTTTTGCTATTGAAATATACAGTTGATCAAATGATAAGATGTGTATCTTAGAAACATCTGACTTGCCTTGACTTGACTTGATTTGGAGTGATCAACTACAGTGTATAGTTTGGTGTGAAACTGAGTACAGACTGCAAAGGTGCCAGGTTTGATCTCTGTGTTTTGTGTTAGCCAATCTTGAAGCCTCCCAATTAGCTGGGGTGGCCCATGCTTATAGAATACATTAGGAATAATGGATGAGGACAAAATGAGACTCGGCCGTGATATTTTCCTGAACATCTTACTCAAAGTCTGTGGTTGCTTCATGAAACTTGTAATTTAGTGAGGTATTGGAGGGTAGTTACTTCTTGAATAAGAGCTTCTCCCCTCTCTGTAGTACCTTGCAGAGTTCTTCATTTACGAGGTGAGAGAGTGAATATTGGTAGGCTATTAACCATACGGGTATTATAGCCAAGGGTGATATTGCCGTCGCCTGATCCATACAAATGCACTTTCCAGCAAAAAAGGGGGAGGGGTCACCAGATAGTGATAATTGATTTTTCGCTAACTACACTGAGCGCCAACATTAATTCAACATTAGCATTCCAGCTAAGTTTATCTAATTCAGCACAGTTTGTGGATTGAAGCTGGGACCTTCCATATAGTTCAATTTCAATTTGGTAGTTACTTTACCAAATTAAACATTGGGGAAAGCTTGGGAACGAAACCTTAATAGCACAAAACAAAGCCCTACAATTTTTTTTCTTGCAGGGTAGATTATTTTTCCTTTATTAACATAGTTCAAAGCAGCTGCAGACTACAGACAACAAAGTATTGTTCAGTTTTGATTTTGCCATTTCCCAAAGTATTCTAAAGGGAACTCAGTCTTAGTTTTGCCAATAGTGGATCCTTCATATTTTTACAGATCATGCCATCTCAGCAACCTTTTAAACATTGATTTGCTTGAAGTCCCTCATGTTTGTGATCTAATGCTTTAGCAAACCCCTCAAAAATGATTCATGACTTGAATTCATAAAGTATTTAATAAAATTCTGCATAGGAAACTCAAAGAAGATTAATGCTGATAATCCTTAATTAGCTATCTGCACAGAGAACAGTGTTTGCAAGAGAAACTGAAGGTAATGAAAAATGGAATCTGCTCTGTCTGTTATTATAGAGTCCAACAGAGGTTTGTTCCTGGACTCCTGATGTTTATACGTTTCAGCAACAGTGTGAGAGAGAGCGTTTTTAATAATATAAAAATGTCAATTGCACCAAGCTCTGCACCCAGATGACAAGTGTGAAAAATTGACAAGATTCAAAGGGATCTAATGTGATTAATTTTATTGGCTATCGAATGGGAAATATGATTTATTAAATAAAAGGCAATATGCATTGGAACAAGAAAGTTTCACATACAATGTAACAAATATTTGTGTGTGATTACTAGTAATTCACTTTCACTGAATCTGATAAGGCTCATCAAATACAATGATGCATGCCAAGAACATTTGATAACAAATAAAAACAAGTTATTTGAATCTTGTATAACTCAATAAGGCAATATTTAGATATTGTGTCCAGTTTTGTGAATTCTTATTTCCAAATGACAGCTGCATTGTGGAGATTTCAGAGAAGAATGAGACTGAGTACTCTAAGATATAACATGAATCAAAGAACTGGAGTCATTTTCATTGTAAAAAGAGGTGGTGGGGAACAATCTAGGTGTTTACCTGCACAGTGATGAGAGGGAAGGATGATGTAGATGTAAGTAGATTATTGAACTTTTTGAGTGCCGCTCTAGAGAATGCTAATACAAAAATAACAAGCTTCAAACGATCATAGAAATCAGATTTTGTAACCACAGAAATTTAAAAATAGCAGTTTACTCTATGTTCATTAATTTCATTAAAATTGCAGGATAGATATTTTTTCAGAAACGTGTTTGAAGGTTATAAGTTAAGAATTGACGTAGATGATCAAATATTTACAGTACAGCAAACCCCAAGCATATATTATCTATTCAGAGTTCAATAATATAAATTCAGATTGAGATCTCCTGGAGTTTTACTCAATTCTTTTTAGGATTGATTACTTGTAATCAACTGGGTCCTTTAGTGGGTTGCGTAGAATCGTTGAAAGGAACATGCTTCACACGCCAAATGGCATTTTGTCACTCCATTTGCTACACATCTAATAAATCCATTGACATATAAATAAGACAAATAGCAGATATTGGTTTATTAAAGTTTTCAGACATTGGCATTTACTGATGTCATCTTAATCTTTTTTTCCTCCCAAAAAGTAGTTTTGGTGCTAGGAACATATGAATGTTAATTTATCTCTCTTCCTTCTAAACATTTCAATCATTTTTGCATCCACAGCCTTCTATGCCAGTATATTCCACAATTTCACAACCCCTTGTGGGTCACCGCTCAACATTCACAATATATTTTAAGAAAGCCTAATCTACTTATGGACACTCATCCTGACAAAGCAAAGGTTCTCAATGCCTTTCAATAATATTTTGAGGTATTTATGGAAAGCCTCTTAAACTTACTGTGCTGTGTGCAGCAATTCTCTTCAGTATCTTATTCTGGCAGAGCCATTGTGAAAGCATCCTGGAACTGCATTTAAATGAGGACAAATTATGGCTCAGTGATAACTGCTGCATTGTGGTGCCAATACAGTTGCTGATGCTGTGCCAAAACAAATTGGGTGTTTGATTTTGGAAGAGCCAGACNAAAAAACAGTAAAAATTTGTCTCATTTAACATAGGCCCTATTAAAAGCTTGGTCATTCCTGTTGTGTTCTCATTCTTAAAGTTGGTGAAGCTTCCTGAAATAAATGAAACTTCATTGATTTGAGAACAGCAGTCAGCAGAATCTCAAAAACTCATTTGTGTAGACAGAATTTAAACATTTATAGTGTCTTCAAAATACCTTGAGTGCTTTACAAGTAGTTACTCTTCTGTGTAGTAACTGTTTTTTAGGCAAACATAGCAACAAGCCGCAAAGGGCTATGAAGGAATTAATAATTAATTTGAATGATTGTTAGTCAAACCACCGGGAGCAGCTCTCATATCATTTAGAATTGTTTCTTGGGATCTTTAATATTAACCTGAAAACAGGCAGTTAGGAACTTGGTTGAATGAATGCCTAATTTGAAAGATGTGGCATTTGCCAATGTAGCACACCCGTTACTGTGCTGGAGTTTATGAGCTCAAGTCCTAAAATTAACCCAGAAGCAATTGATCAAGAGGTGGGAGTTCTACAAACTGAGCCAAAGTAAAAATATTGGATAAGGAGATCTGGGGCCATTTTGCTCAGTTCCTGATCCTGACCAGAATTTGTGATCTCATCGTGCGGTTTTCACTGCAAAAGGTGTATATGAGATGGTGGCAGTCAATTGATAACAAATTATTTCACCACATTGTCAATTCAAGTGACATTGTCAATTGACATTGTCAATTTTGGAAGCCAGCCTGGAGAAATTAGCCAGCAATTTCAGTGACTCCATATTATTCCAGAATTTAGAAGCAACAACAACAACAAAATTACATTTGTAAAGTGCTTTTCACGGAGGGAGGACGTCCCAAGGGACTGAACAGTCGGAACATGTGGCAAGGTAGGTCTGCCGCAAACTGGGCCAATTCACTATTTTCTGTATTTTTACTGGCACTTCAAGCCAACTGTGTGAGGAAATTCCTTACTCCACATGTCTCTGTTTACCTAGCAGTAAGTAGGAACCCAGTTGTTAGTCGATGGGACGTCCTCCCGACGTGAAAGGCGCTCTATAAATGGAATCTTGTTGTTGTTGTTGATTTGTCGATCGCTTTCCTGAGAGTAATAATTCCTTTAAAAAAAATCACTTTATGGGATACTGCTATCTGCAATTGGCTGCTGCGTTTCGTCTGCAAAATACACAATCAATTCACTTTACAGTATCTTCTATGAAGCGCTATGAGATGTCTTGAAGATTTGATAAGGCGCTATATTAAATGCAAGGATTATTTATTAAGATTTTAGCAGTTCTACTAGTAACTGATACGTTTGTCTTAATCATTTATCCTGGACGTTTTAGTATTAGTGAATTGAACATTACACGAATGGGACCTGGATTAACCAGCTGCAGAAAATAACATGCAGACCTATGACAGTTAACACTGGCAGCAGCCTGACCACTGAATACTAGCTCTGTGCTACTAGCAGTATGTTTTCACTGGATTTTTTTGCTGCAGGTCAAACTGGAAAAAGGAAGTGGGATTCGGCAATACGTACCATCTCTGCTTCCCTTTCCACAAAAGTCCAAGTCTGATTGGCCCAGGGTATGTTAGATATGTTATCTGTTTGCAACTTCAAATAATATTTACACTTTTTTTATTATCATTTTCCCCCTAAAGTTTTCTCCCTTCTCCCTCCTGCAACTTAAACTAGTGAAGCTAAGACATCAGACAACACATTTTTATACCTGTAGTGCTTTTCATGTCAGGAAGACATCTGAAAGCGGGTGGTTTCAAATAGGCTGGTGTAGGTTGAGCAGAGGGTGCTGCTGGAGCAGTAGGGTTGCAGGGGGAGAGATGGGGTGAGGCTATGAAAGTGAAGATGAAAATTTTGGATTTGATCTGGGGAATGGGGAGCAAGTGGAGCAAGTTGGTTGGTATTGATATTGAAGAGAACGTTGGAATAGTTGAACCTGGAAGTGATGACGGCACGTACAAGGGTGTCAGCAGCCAAGGAAGGAGGAGAGAGAGTGGTGATGTTGAGGAGGTAAGGGAAGACAGAACTCAGATACTTAAGTCTCGGGTAGTTTTTTCATGTCGTCATCTGACGTAATCCATTGAAAATCTAAATACTTGACTATCAAACAATATTGGATTTTTAAATTTCTTTTATACTTCATTTTCAACTTTAACCTTAACGATAAGAGAATCTTTATGTTTGTCATAATTTTACATGTAAATGTAACAAATCATTTTGAAGATTTTGTTAAGAAGTTGCTGGTGTATCACAGTAGTCAAAGTAATCAGCTTTTCTAGCTCTAATCAGCGTTTCCAAGCTTCCAAGGGCACCATTGTATTCTTGTTCTTTATTGCTCCATTCATTTCAGGTCGCTTAATAGGTATTAAAAAATTCTTTTACGGCCACCCGAATAAAAATTAATGTAACTGGGCTTTACACTGATAATGCTAGCCGGGAGAATTTAAATGACAAAAAAGATAATCGTTTTTCATTAATGAGAATAAAAAAAGCTGAAATTGAAATATGTAACTGGCATGCAGCCAACTTGCTGAGGTGCATTTGAGCAGGAGAATTTTAATCAAAATATCATCCTTTTTGTCCTTTTCTTTCAGAGGAGGGGGTCCTTGTGCAATATATGGAGTCAGCCTACCAGTGCATGTAGGTATAATAAAACTAAATTCTAGCAGGAAATTATAAAGACTATTACTACTACAGTGTACTACAGTTATTTGAAATGGGTCTGACTGTTATCTAAAGCATTATTTGTAGATTGTCTTTTCTTTGATATTTTATACTTTTTTGTGCTTTTCTGAATTTCAAGGTATCAGAAAGAGAAATTAATAGCAACATACAATTGTTTTCATTACAGAAAAAAAATGTTTAATCATTAATTATTTTGCTCCATTTGTAATCCTGCCAACCTCCTCCAGAAGGCTGAGCAGCAATCTTCCCAGTGGTTTCTCCTGTCAATACTGCTCTCTGCTTTAGCCAACAGGAGAGAAGCATATGTAGAATTGACTATCCTCAGAACGTAGACCAGTGCACAGCCATTTGACACAAGTAATGTGTCAATCAAACAATGCCGCACAGTTATTAAAATAAGTATCTGATGTAAAGATCTACCTTGCAAATCCATATATATCGTAGTTTTCATATGTAGAGCAGAAGGATCTTTATTTTAGATAATCCACAATATAAGACAATCGTATACATGTCAAATAGCATACACTGCTCAACTCAATTCCCCTCGGGTACATTTCTACCAAAACCTTTAATTTGAATCCTAGATCTAACCATCAATTAAATAATACCCCACATGTACAACCAACTTAAAATCACATTCCATCACAAGTGTCACTTAGCTGGAATTTTGGCATAGGAAGTAACATGACCCAATAGCGAAATTGCATATCCTCAGGAAAAGAACAACAAATGATTCATTAAAATAAATATATCAATTATTATTGCCAGAACTACTTATTTAGGGAAATATTAATTTCCACACCAACTTCATCACCAGATGATTAAAGAAATGTTAAGGTATTTTCAATTTTGTTCAAATGATGACTGAACCAATCATTTAGACAAAATACAGATACTTAATCTTCATTCATCCTTGACTGGTTAACTTGTAGCATGTATAATGGGTACTCAGGCATGGTCATCTGGTTTCTTTGTCTTCTGACACATTTCCATTTCCAGTAGCAGTTTCTGTTTAGGCTCTGTTCTTGTTGGCTGAATAACAATGAACACAATTCAAAATGGTATTATTAGTAGAGGGATACATGTAACATTAACAGCTGCAACTGTATCAAACAATTTGCCATCTGTTTAAAAAACACAGTGGGAGTCAAGCATTGCATTTAATATCACTTTACATTCTATTCATAAAAGAAAAAAAACGAGTGTAAGGACTTCGGAGGACTGAATTCTTAATTATTTACTGAATGAGTGACAGTTTCCTGTGTTGTAATTGATGCATGTTCACATTTTTGAAGCTATGTCTGAATTAAAACTTTTTCAATTGGCTTTCTTGGTGTCTTGCAGTGCAGGAGAAACAGAAGTGTGCAGAGGACAAGGATCAGTGGGTTTGGGTGGTACCTGTGATTCAGGTATTCAGAGATACAGTAAAATTCACATAAGTCTTATCTTTATAAAGTATTATAAATTGCACAATTGCCTAAGCCATACATTCACCTGAGTTCCATTCAGTTTCCTATTAAAACAACTTAGATTTCTTTGCACTACTCATATTAATCACTTCCTAACTCCTAACACTGCTCCCCTACCTTTCATTACTCCCACACTACCGGCCGGCTGCATTGAATTGAAGGAAATATAGTCTTAATCCGTCACCGCATGCTCAGAATTCTAACAACTGTTAAAGACACATCTAGTTAAAGTTAAAGGCTGTGATATTTCCTAGACATAAAATAAATAAGATAAATCTCATGGAAACACCATCAACAGTGGACTGGTTATGACACCTAGGTTTTAATACTTCATCTTCAAGAACCTTGGTCAGTACAGTATCTAAGTAAGTTAACAACCTAATCAAATTTTTGAACAATGAAGAAAAAGGGGGCATTGTAGCATCAGAAATGAGGTAGCAAAAGGGCAGTTACATTTTGTAGGAAAATCAGAGTGATAAAGAACTTTGGTGCTTTATGATTTATCTTACTGTTATTCGACAGTGGCAGTATTTTGTTGCATTTACTTCCCATGTCTTAACTCAAGCTGAAGACAAGAATGCCCATACCTCAACCTATGCCACCTTTAATTTCTGATGGAGAAGTAAAAGCAGTACAGAAGAAGAAAGAGCTACTCCAGTATGAGATGACCACTTTGGTAAGGAATAATTCAAAATTAGTATTAATGATTAATTAACATGATTAAACCCTGCCACAATACAACAGAGTCATTATTTCTAATTTACTTAAGGGGAATTGTAAAATATTGTAGAAATTTAAACACATTATTTAATAATTGTTGCATAAATTTATTTTTATAATAACACTGCTTCTTCATCCACATTGCAGACAAAATTGATCTATTAGTTTTTGATCTAACAGTAAATTGATCTATCGGTGTGCTTAATACATTTGTTTAATTTTTTATGAAATAGCAGAGAATTGGTTTTATAGGCATATATTAGAAATTGTTACTTATTTAAAACTGATCAGCTTTCTGATGTTGGGATTGCCATCATACAGAGGTGGTGGATGGAAGCCAAGTGCTTCTTAAAATTAAAGGAGGAAACTCACATGTTATCCCTTTCATGGACCTATCAGTGATGGCTAAAGGACAGTGCTGTGATTGAGGAGTGTGGGACAAACCACCAGTCAATCCTTTCAACTAAGAAAGCTATATGGTACAAACACTGAGTCAGAAGGTTGTGGGTTCTAAGCACCCCCACATCGGGACTTTCGAGCACATAGTCTAGGCTTACACTACAGTTGCAGACCAGTGCTTAACTGACAAAGATGCCATCATTCTAATCAAGGCCCGTCTGCCTGTTCAAGTGGACATTAGAGATCCCATGGAACATGAGTTTACTGCAGTGTAAAAACATGTATTCTATCTTACGATACATTAAGAGTGTAGTATTTAAAAATAAATACTTGGTCAGTTTATTTAAAGAGGTTATGTCTTTTTAAAGATCTGTTTGGTTTATACAGCAAGATCGAACATTATTGGAACTAAACTGGAAGTTGGATTATTATGTGCCCGGTTACAGGAAAGGAGCAGGTTCCAGAAGAGCAATAGGTGTGTGTTACTTTTTGTCTATCACTCTTTACTAGTCATTCAGCAGCAAACTCATTTTAATTTTGAAATTAATTAATTAAATTAAATGATGTAATGCTTGATTTTTATCTTATTTGGATCCATTAGTTCTAAGATCAATGTAATCATTCATTTGCAAAAAAAAAAATCCCTCCGCCTTGCCCCCCCTCTCCCCTCTTGCAAATCCCGCCTGAAGGCTTTCCTCTTCGACAGTGCTTATGGCTACTTCTCATTCTTTATTAGTAGGGAAAGTGGTTCTATCAAATGATATAAAACATTTATTCTATTACAATATATACAGACAAAAATTGAAATAAAATTCACATTTCATAAGGCTATGAGTTGGTTCATAAGATAGTCACAAATCAGATATAGAATGTCTCACAAGCAATTTTTCAAAAAAAATTATAAGCAACCTTCAAAAAGCAGTATCAAGCAGTTTGTTGCCTTGTTTAAGTTTGCAAAAATAATTGATAGCCAAAAACCCCCCCAAAAATCACTACTGGAAGCATAGTTCTCCCAGTATTTGGTGCTAACTAGTTGACCGTTTATGCTATAAATAGCCAACTTCCAGGTTGTCAGGTCCCTGAAATCAGTTGCAACGTCCTGTGCGTGCATGCTCTGTGCAGAAAGCGCTGCTGACATCACTTCACACATGATTGAAACTCACAGGAAATAATGCCAACTGTGACTTAAATGTCCTAGAATTTTGGTCAATATTCCGCACTTTGTTATAATGAGGCCTCTGAGATTGTATCCATGCGACCATGTTATAGTGGGAGTTAACCTGCATCATCAAACCTAATCAAATGCAGTAAATGTGGAAATGTGATACCTTCCCAATATTAGCAAGTCTGAAGAACGATTAGCAGGAAATGCTGTGGTTAGGAGGGCACAAGGCTTTGAAAGTCACAGCTGAGAGCTGGGAACAACTCATCACTTCTGTTGGCAAATGGATTGAACTGTCATTCCTCCCAGGCTTCACAATTCCAGTTCTTGAAGCTCAAGCAAACACCTCAACTGTTCTATTACTGAGCTATTCCTAATTGTGCCATTTAACAGTGATTAACACTTGTACATTATCAGTCAAAATAATTATTTAAAACCTGTCATATGTTATCAGCCATAAGTTTACTATTGAAACTTGCACTGCAATAATATATACCTGCAGCTTTCCAGTAAACCAAAGGATACCAACTTTAAAAAATAAATGAGTCATCAACTGGACCTTTATAATATGCAAAGATAAAACCTCTAAGATACTGAATGCACTCTAGGTTCCTTACAATATATCATTGTGCTTCATATTAAAAAAGTAAATCAGCTGTAATCTGATTCCGACGAATTGTCATCGAAAAAACTCGAGAGGTTTGACTGCTGTTTCTTTTTGTCCCTGACCACAAGACATTCGAACACTTTTGTTTTCAGAACGAACACTTCAGATAATGTCCAACAGTCTCATAAAGTGTCAAATTGGATTCATGCTTGTATGTGTAGATTTGGAATTAAGTGATTTTTTTGAAATTTAAAATAATTCTGTGATTACAGGCAACTAGACTAACAGATAATTTCCCACTTGTCCTCAAAATAGTGTGACAATATATATTCTAGGGTATAATAGAAAAAAACTGTTATAATATATAATATATGTGGAGTCCTGTAGTTCAGTAGTTAGAGCACTCACCTTGCAAGCAAGACACCTGGGTTCAATTCCAGGCAGGGAGAAACCTTGGGCAAGTTTCCTTACTCCACACGCCTGATAATAATCCCTCCAAAACAAAACAATAATAAATTGGGCATTTTCAATCCATGACTGTTTGTGGGACACTGCTGTGTGCAATTGGCTGCCGGGTTTCGCTCACAAATATACGGTCAATTCACTTTACAGCATATTCTGTGAAGCGCTTTGAGATGTCTAGAAGACGTGAAAAGCGCTGTATCAAATGCAAGGATTATTATTATTATTAAAACAATCACAAATGCTAAAGAGCTGTCACCCATGAGAATTTTTTTTCCCACACTGCAACTAGTTGGTGGCAGTGGGCAATTGTCTTCAGCATGTAACAGCCCAGGTCAATAGAACAGAAAACTGTTGTCGAAACCACAGGCTGTATGTACAAAGTCAAGGACCAGATTTTCTCAGTATTTCAGTGCAATGAACCATCAAAATTGGAGGTTGGGAGACATGCAGTGTAAATTACAACACTAATTTTGGAGAAAATCCCCATGATTTATACGATTAGAGCGTTCAGATTCTATATTCTTTTCAGTCTGTGAACTTAATTAGTTCTTGGTTTCCAGTGCATGTTTCTGATGGATTTAATCCAGATTCAATTAAATAAATATTCATCTGTTTTCTGATGATGATGAGATGATTCCTTGATTAGGGATACAAAAGTGACTTTGAATGTGTATAGTCCCCTCTGACCTTGAGAACCATATGATGGCATCTGAAATGTACAACTATGTGGTTCATTGCTATGACTGCAGTAAATATTTGTGTTTAAATCTAAGGCAATAAGTTTGATTTCAAAGTTAACTTGGATTTCAGATATTCTAACACATTTTGATCATGTCTGAAACCATTAATTTACTGATATAGCTCTCACTGTTTGTATAATGTATCCAGCATAATATATATTCAAAGCTTATAAAGTAAACTAAATGTGTTATCAAAAGAACAGAGTATTAATTTGTCAGACTGATTAGTTACAAAGGTTAATTGACCTTTGTAGTTCTGCAAAAAAAAACAATATTTCTCTGCATGCCAAACTTGCATGCTTCCAATCTTACCTTACCCCAAATGCAGCCGAAACCCGTGTGCATACATTTGTTATCTCTTGCTTGGATTACTCAAACACACACCTTACCGGACTCCCAGCTCCACTATTCAAAAGATCCAGCTCATTCAGAATTCTGTTGGCCGAATACCTACACAGACCAAACTCCGTACCCACATCTCACCCGTTCTGGCCAAGCTTTATTGGCTCCCCATCACCGAACTGATCGACTTCAAGATTCTTACACTTGTGTTCAAATCCTTTCACTCTCTGGCACCTCCCTACCTCTCCAACCTCCTCACGTCCCAATCCACCACCCGGGACCTCCATTCAACTGGCATCGACCTCTGCTTGTCCCTCACACCCTCCACCCCACCATTGGAGGTCACGCATTCAGCCACTACGCTCAAAATTCTGGAACACTATCCCTCAATTCCTCTGTCTTGCCCCCCCTCTCCCCTTTTTCAAGTCCCGCCTGAAAACTTTCCTCTTCAACCATGCTCACAGCCACCTCCACCCCACCCTGGCTAAGTGTCAGCCTCCATTACTGTTAAGTGCTCTGAGACGCTGCCCTGCATGGAGGGCGCTATATACGTGCAAGTTGTTGTTGTTCCTATTGTTTCAGCGTGATATGCATTGAAAAAAGTCTAATAGTAATGCTTCTTAGCCAACACTGAAATATGTGTTTGTTTTACTAATTCTTGAATTTTCACTCAAGTATTTATAGCAAATCAATACAGACTTCCATTAAAATATTTCTGTGGAAAATATAGAATTTTAAAGTTGACTAATGGACTGGTGACCTCATAGGTATTGCATTGGCTGTCACTCACTCACATTGGTTGGTTCAGTGTTTTTACTTCTCAACTGAGCCATTGAATAATGCTCTGCAGTAAAGCAGGGCAGGAGATAAAAGAAAAATCTGTCCAAACTCTCTAAGCGTTGAATAATTCCCTCCAATGATAACATTACTGAGTGGGATCACGGGCAGCCATGCATAGTTCTGTGAAACACCCTAATTTTTAACCTGAATGTACCTGCATGAGATGGAGGAATGCCTGAGAGGAGGCAATAAACTTTGTAAAACTTATAAGTTACAAAAATTGGTGTAAAGTATCAGTTAGGCTATTATATAGGTGAAAGATACTTTGTACGACCATCATTACGCTGAGTGACTGTCAAAGATTATGAATTTCTTTACGTGCTTGAGGATTGTCTTAGTGAACTGCACTAGCTCACAGTGCAAGGAGATCATTTCAGTCCCGCCACCCTACCTTATCCCCAAACTCATTCAAGCTCCTCTCTCATTTTCGATGGATTCTGCCTTCACCACACTACTCGGGAGGTAGGTTGGATAACTTTGGAACAATCTAAGAATTATGCCAGTGTCTTACAGTTTGTCTGAAATTTGGTGAAAACATGTAAAAACACACTTAAATAGTACACATGTTTCATTATTCTAAAAAAATGGCTCCTGAATCCTAGGGCAGGATTCTGGATTTAGGTTACCTCCTCCACAACACAAGTAAAGCCCGGTGGAAAAACCTTGAGGTATGTTGATGTTAGGTGTCTTGAGAAAGCTCCAAAAAACATGCACTGGGAGGTGGGATAGACTCTTTCACAGCCAAGAGAAGCAGAGAATAATACATGCACTTCAACATCAATGCCGAATATTGTATCTGCTAAGAATTTTGTTAATTTATAATAATGACTTTATATACTGATAGCAAACTGATTAAAATAGTTGTTATGAACCATGATCTAGAATGAATGTTAGGGAAGATAATTGTACTTAACACTAGAATCTATGCAATTTTTATGCGTAGAATAGAGCTGGACACGCACTGGACAATCATGTACCTGGCCCATATTTATGGTTTTAGGCGCATTGGATCTTTAACTAGAATTAAGCAAAAGGATGTTGAACTTTTTCCCCCTCTCTTGATTTGTCAAAAGTGCTATTTAGATTTCATCTTTAAAGGATTATCAGTCAGACTGCTGATCTAAGTCAGCAGCTGAGGGTACCTTACCATCTGCTTTGAGTATTCAAATGAGGTGTGAAGTAGAGTCGAGCAAATGATCCTAATTGGACTTGACTAGTACCATCCGAAGTTTCTACAATATGGCAAATGTATCTGGTCAGACAATGCAAATATATCAGGTCTTTTATGCAACTGACAGCTCATCAAACACAGACACCTGGAGTAGTAGCAGTCTGCTTTTATGCCCAAAAAGTACTATAGAGAGAAATTGCATTTTGGACACATAACGATTGTTACCTTAAATTTTTCTTGCCATATGCACCATCTGGCAGCAGGCATCATAAGATAGTATTTCTTATAACAATTTCAAGAGCGGTTTATGAGATGATGCACGATTATTTGCAGACGTCAGTGGAGCTTTTCTAAAAGTGCTCTGAGAAACTACCCTTCGTGGAGGGCACTATATAAGTGTAAATTGTTGTTGTAAAATGGCTTTACCGGGATTCTGGATAACCAGACTTAAAGATGAAAATGAACTGCACTTTTGGCACTCAACAAAATAGTACCCAAAGCTATCATCAGTGAATTGCGATTTCATGAGGCTATTTAACAAAAGGGCCATCATGTTCGTGTACATGCTTTATAACTCTAGATGAGTACTGTCAAGGGTTCCCTCAATGGTACACATGGTACCTTGGGAGGGCATTGAGGTTAATTTTACTGCCCCCATCATTGAGATCAGCAAACTCAGGACAGATCACTCTATCCAATTAGAATTCTCTTTGTTGCTTATAATGGTAAATCCTGTTATAAACATATAACAAAAATGTGATAGTGATTGCTCTTTGATAGATTCAAGAATGTCCTGATTTGTTCCTTTTTATTTACCAAGTGATCAAAGAGCCCTGGAATTGTACACAAAGATTATGGGGATACCCATAAACATATCTTAAGTATATCATTATTGTATCATTCAATCTTTCCACTCTTCATTTGTTTCTAATCACTATTAGAACAATGCAGCTATTAGAAAATAAATAAAAGCAGTGTTTTGTTGTTTTTCTCAAAACACTTGTCATATTTGACACAATTTAGCAACCTGTATGACTTGAGATTACTCATTGGTACCATGATTAATATTCCAATTGGACATTTGATTCATGTGCTAAGTGTGCAATCTGACAGCCTTTTGGCAAACCAGTCAATCCACTCAATGCATTTAAAATGGGGAATGCTATAACAGTGAAATCTGATTCTGTATTTGCTGCAGCATCATTCCAAATGTTAACATTAAGTAACTTACCTAACACAATATGACAGCATTATGCCATATGGAGTTGGATGAATGTGTTATTTGTAATCGTTGTTCCTTTTTGGTATATTTTCAATCTGTCGCTGGCATTTTGGCCCCAGAGTGCAGTGCAAGAGGTAGTTGATATTCAACCAGAACCATTTACTCCTCCATAATCAACACTTAAACAGCTTGACATATTTGCAATCCATGCCAGTTAGGTCCCAGAAGTCTTCACAGTATTTAGTTGATTTGATTGTAGGTGGCTGCAAAAATGGGTATGGTATAAAAGCTCCATGGTCATATTTCCTCCATGTTGTTTTTTCCTACAATACCAGGGAAATGTCCATGTATCATCTTTGAATACTCATTCTGACCTGGGAACATAACATTAATTGATTTGTTTTATGGTCCAATGTTTTCTTTCCATCATTAATTTATTTTTTGGTTAAGAACTCTCTCTGTGGCAGTGATATACATAGAATTACTGTACTGCTGTTAAGGGCTCACTTTATTTTTTACATATCACTGCACATCACGTTGATAAGTATAATTACCTCTTCTATAACATTAACAGTATGCAGCTCAAAATTTGTATTATTGGTGCAGTTATAGTATTATAATAACCACACAATTTAATTAAAGAAAAGCTTTCCCCTCCTAAACATGTCTAATGTTATACTGAACAATTTGAAACATAAAATCACTAATTGAAAATTGATCAGCTTAATATAAACATACAACTATTATACACAAATTCAGATTATAGAAATTTAGAAATTATAAAAAATCTTACCCTTTGAAGAAGGTTCATTGTAATAAAAAAAACAAGGATGTCATCTGAAGGTGACCTTATAACCAGGCTTCTTGCATTTTCTGAATATTAATATATACATATTTACATAATAACAATGTTTTATACAAAATGCTAGCTAAGTACAGCATAAGCAATTATAATGTAGATATCATCTTGATGTCCTTGTGCTATAAAAATGTTGTACAATATTGTAACATGACTGCTCATAAAAATGGAAAGTTTGACAGTGCTCCCGCATGAATATGCAGAAAATGGAAATACCACAATTCTTTTTTGTAAAATTTCCTTATGGTCCCAGCTTCACACTGGCTAATGACAGTTCTGATCTGATGCTTATAACTCTCTTTTCATTGGGCCTTCTCAGCCAGGATTTCTTCACTTTCCTGCTGAGCTACATTGCCTTTTTCACAAATTATTTGACAAAGTTTTTAAATGAGTCAAATATTGGTTGCAGTGCTAAACATTTATTAGCACAATGTGACATGCAATTCTATGGAAACTGATTCTGAAAGAGCTATTAATTTTGAAATAGTAAATTCTATATTTGTCTTAATCATAAAGCTGAGAAAAGATAAGTTATTGGAAACATCTTGAATAAGTACAATCTTTGGAGTGCGTTTCTGCATTCCGTTATCCATTCTTGTAGATGTATTTTTTTCAGCACTATTTTTAAGATGGAAACAAATGTCCTGTTGCAATCTGTTGAAAATTTCTACTAACGTCCTAATAAAGAATAATCTAGAATTATCTAGCAGATAAAACAGCTTATGTAACCAATACCGAAGATATATCTTTCAAAATAACATCCAAGCAAAGTGTTTTAACTGAGGAAAAAAACACCAACATCACCTAACAGTTTATGTATTCTTATTCCAAAGGATTCTCAGAATTTGAAAGCACAGCTATTAGAGATAAGGAAAAACCATCTGAACCAACCAGATCGCCCCCTCTTCTTCAAAATTACTTTACAATATTATCCTTCTCTGATTTTTTATTTATCATGTTCAAGATAAATTTAATGTTCATTGGAACCATAGAGGATTGACCACGTACTCTGTTCCATGAGTAGATTGTATCAGTATTCACAAGGTATGGAGATAAGCAAGATTTGGAACCAGTAATAAATTATCACTGGTGCAACAATGCAAAATATGCTGCATTGTTTCAGGATTAGATGAGTAACATGTATTCTGGATATTAAAGAATTACCAACTCGGAAAACTAACCTATAGTTGCGTTTTCCACAGACAGACGTTGTTGTCTTATTAGTATATAAGAAGATAGATAGAAGAAGATATACACCAGTACAAACTAATTGGGCCACATAGTCTGCTTTGGTGCTGTAGATTCCATGTAATACACAGTCTGTTTAGAGATATGTAGGGTATGTGTCATAAACAGCACGGATAGGTGAATAATCTGAAGCGTTCCAGGACTGTACCCATGTGAGGGCGCTATATAAATGCAACTAATAGTTTTACAAGTGAGTTTAAATTATTGTGAAGTAAGCTGGATTTGAATATTGGAACCTTGGGTACAGATAGATATTCTGGAGCTATAGATTGATTTTTTGGGGGAAATTCTATGCAGAACTTTCCCCAGAGAGAGTGGGTAAGTGGAAACATAATTGTTCAACATAATTGTTTCATATTCTGTGAAATGAATGGGCCGAATGGCATTTCCTCATCGCTTGATTTTTGTTTTTATGAAATCTTCAACTTGCAAAATGTATGAAAGTAGGATCATGTTCAAGAGTCTTAACGACTATCATTAACCAAGTAAGCGAAAACTCAAACTTCTGACAGGGATTTAAGACACATTCTATATAGGACAAAATTTAATTTTACATGGTTGATACAGTATGCATATATTCTCCAGTCACCCAAGTTATTGCATGTCACGCTTGCGCATTGCAGTAAAAAACGAACGGTTCGTATTAATCTTATTTTCCTTAGTTGTGTGCCAACTCTCCCTAAGTGCTCAGGGATGCCCCCCGTGGGTGAGGGGTGCTATATAAATGCAAGTAGTTGTTGTTAAACCAACAATTTTGCCAGCAGGTTAAATATCACTAAACAATGTGTTTGAATTCTTTTTCACTTTTCTTTCTGTTACAGAGAAAGTTCAAGCACCAAAAATCAAGAAAAAACCTCAACAGGAACCTAATGTGTTTGAGAGGTTACTAATGGCCCCCAAGAAGAGGTAATCGCTTATCATTTCTCAGTCAAATTATTAGCTTCATTTAAATCCATTTCTATGACCCACTTGCACTTAGATTGCGATCACAAGTCACCAGAGTAGTCTGTGCAGCAAATCCAGTGATTCCAATCAGTAAGCACCACTTTACATTCACTACAGTGGGAAGTGGATGCTTATCAAATACAGTGTGCGTTTAGATCTACATATTATTCCACCCATCTGCGGAAAGCAAATCTATCAATTTGGGATCCTTTTCATTTTGTGTTTTTTTAAACGCCACCACTTGGTGGCTTCCTGTCTGCATGCCTTGTGCTCTAGCTGTGAAAGGCAGCTGCACAGACACTTTTTTGCTCAGAGCTAGTGCCGTTTTGTGACTTTGCTGGCAGGGGTTCCTGCAGTGCAGCAACTGCTGATTACTCCCTCGCTCACATCAGCTGAGTACTTTGCTTGAAGCTGCACAAAATTACCTGGCCAAGAATGCATCTTACTATACGAGGAATATCTTGTTACAAAAAGCAACAGAGGCTCAGATGTCTGTGATTAATATGTACCCCTAAGCTGATGCCTTTTCCATCAGCTTCATGAGTAATCAATCTCCCTGCCACTAATTCCACTATTGAAGCACAAAAGGCAAGAGAAATGACGAACTTTGAAAATTACAAACAAATTTAAGAGATCATTTCTTCATTTACATAAAATATGGAAAGTAATTACCAATTAATGTAAATAAGGTATTCTCCTTTTTTGTAAGATAATTTTGCTGTGAATAGCTATCTTTGTAAGTTAGAGGGCAATACATTTTAGAATGTCAACAATAGCATCATATCAGGTTGTTGCATATTTTTCGCAAATAATTCAGAAGAATCATACTTAGCTTTATGGAACATTCACTATGCAAATGAGCCAGGATATTAAAATATGTACGCAATTATATATGTAAATTAGATTAATCAGTAAATAGACTTTCTCCTATATCTGAGAACAATACATCACATTTTTATGAGTTAGGCTGTATTTGCTATACTGAGAGGGAGGATTTATTAAAAAAACATGTAAATTACATATCATTTTGTAATTATATAAAACATTATGGTGCCAATATGCTAAAGGCTTGGGATCTAGTCTGTCATTTTGAATTTGGTAATTTTAAAAGAGACTTTTCTTCACAACTGAAGAATTGTAAAATTCTTCAAAAGCTTTGCCACTGGTAAGAGCTCTGGGACACTACCCTGTGTAAAGTGCATTATATAAATTTGATGAATGAATACAAAAATTTCGTGGAATGCAGTTAGTGAGTATATTGTCTGAAGTTTTTTAGTCTTTAAAGCCATTTTTTTTAAATTTTAAGATTGAGGAACATTGTGGAAACCTCTTAAATGTAATTTTATTGATGAGGTTGTTTTTCTTGAAAACAACAAAGTTCCAAATGAAGATTGAATTTAAGAATTTTCCACATTTTTATGTGATCTTAATTTTAAAAACAAAATGGACTTACAGAGAACAATAACAGCAACAACCTGCATTTATGCAGCGCCTTTCAGGTACTGAAAGATAACATAAAGATTAGAAGATAATATTTGGGGTCTCATGGTTCAGTGAGTACCTTCACTTGTACCTTCAAATCCTTCATCTATGTTGTGCCCTGTTGACAAATACAGTTTAGTTTATATATTCCCATTGTTATTCTCATTAAATTTCATCACTCTGCATTTGTTTACATGAAATAACATTCACCGCATTTTAGCCTAATTCCCTAACATTTCTAGATCTCTCTGGATTTGGTTAACTTGTTTCATTCATAGGTGCATGAGAGAGAATACAGAGTATAGAGAGAGGGAATGTCCCGAGAGGAAGTCCACAAATGGAAGAATAAATATTCGCCTTGCACTATCCTTTGCTTCTTTCACTTCAGCTAGTTGCTAATCTACGTGTATGACTTACCCTTGATAGATACTGATATTAGTTTGTGAGGAGCGTCTTGTATTTCATTTTCTACACATTTGGGTGCCCTACCTTTATATTTTATACCTTCAGATTTACAGCTGGAAGATACAATCCATCACAAATTAAAAGGGATTTTTTTTTCTTGGTATCTATTGGATTATAGGTATTTATGTCTGGTTGATTAGATTCACATTTGTTTGTTTTCTTTGAATCATTTAGAGAGCGTTTCCCTTGTTGTCCTGCAAAATGTGGTATTGCAAAACCGGAAAAAAAAGTAAGAAAACCAAAAATACCAGAGGTCAACGTCAAAGAATCCTTAATTATCAGTGAAGGACCGACCCAGGAAAATATTCTGCCGGAATCTCATGCTACAGTAGACATAGATAGCCTTGGTAGTCTTAATATCCATCATCTTTTCAGTAACATCAACTCATTTGCAGATACGTCCCTTTTTTCAGTGAAATTATCAACATTTACCGCAAGCCAACTGTTAAGTGAAAGCCAACTGTTAAGTGAAAGCAAACTGTTAAGTGAAAGCAAACTGTTAAGTGAAAGCAAAGAGTCAGCTGCGATTGCAGGCTCTGATGTGGATCTGTAACTGATATCTCAGTAGGATATGGTCATGATACACATCCTGTTTACTTCTATGATTCCATACTTCTGAGACTCAATGAGTGTCAGTGAACCAGTCAATTACACATTAAACATCGTTGTTAAAGGTATTTAAAACAGGTGATAACCAAGAAACTGAATGCAAAGTGCTTTTCACAATCAATAAACTAACAGGATGATCTGATTCTAAGTTGTGACATTCTTTCTGTGCAAAAGCAAATTATTAATTTATAAGGCCCAATGGAATACAAAAGCTAGCTACAAAGAAAATCGCATGTAAAAAGGCCAATTTTGTTTATGTACTGTTACAGGATGGATAATGATGCTCTTCCCAAAACACACACGCACGCACTTTGAAGAAAATTTCAATCAGTATTTGATTAAAAACGTGAAATAAAGAAATACAGTTAGAAACTAAACCAACAGTCATTTCAGCAAACTAAAGTAGTGAGGGATAAAACCTTCAGAAACATTTTTTTCCTGAATGTTCTTGTGAATTTTGAACAAAGAGCAAAGGCTTTGTAGCTATCACTTCACCTGCTCATTAAATTCGTTGTGACATTTCTAGTTCTATTATTTGGCAAAATATCCTGAATAAAAAAAATGCTCAATATTTCTGTCCTATGAAAAACTACTCATTGCCTTCTAGAAATGTGAGTAATTTCCAGTCAAGTGGAAAATTCTCTGTAAATTTAACCAGCGGATAAACTCATGTTCTGATTGTTGATTGGAGCAAGCCTTGTGAAACAGGCTGTTTACTCTCTGACCTCCTGCCATCCCTATAACAAATAATCATTGCATGTGCATTTGATATACTGCCTGCCTTATCATGTCATTGAGATGCCTCAAAGCGCTTCATAGGATATAATGACTGTATTTTGAGGGTGATATAGATAGTAGACCTAATATCATTTTGGACAGCAAAGAAGGGGCTTAAACAAATGTGTTGGAGTTCTCAAGATTTGTGCCATTGAGTGGTGGGACATAGGCACTGGGTGGGCCTTATATTTTGTTACTGATCTAAGCTATTTTAATGTGGGCTTGTTTAGTTTTTCTTTAAAAAGAACAGTATATTAAATGCAAACTTCCCCACTAAGATAGAGGAAAATGAAAGAGAATCACCTTATAGAGCAGCATAGGCAAATGCCTGAAAACAGGTAATCTGTTCGCACTCTCACCAGGTGTGGTCCATTAAAGAAAGAATGTAAAAAATTAAATAGAATAGAAAAAAAATCTACATTTGTCACAAAACATTTTTTTCTTCAATATTTTGAAGGTATGACTAAATAGAACTGATGAATGAGCATGTGTTTATAACAGGGAACTGAGCGTATATGAGGAATGCAGACAATAACAATGCATTTTGTTTGAAAAAAACTGCTTAAAACAACATCAACATACATTGATAGAGCGCCTTTAACATCAGGAGGATATCTGATTGGGAGCTTGAGTGGGGGGATATTTAGTAACATGATATCCAGCTATACTTGATATCTACATGTTAAGCCTACCCTGACCTGCAATCTGTTTCTTCTATTGACCAACCTCTGCCACAATTTACCACCACAATAGATTTAATTAAACATTATTGATTTTGTACATAAGGGTAGCCAATAATGATTTGGTAAATAAATACTTGATGCTGTGCCTCCTATGCAAAATACTAACCAAAATGTTGTATACCTGCAACCGAACCAGGTTCTTCACTTGCACTGAGGGGTGCAACCTTTTCTTGTCTAGGAAGATGTGGCAGAATAAGGTCCTCATGTCTCAAGGGCTAAATGAAAAGAGGAAGCATACCATAAATAAATGTACGTGCACACTGCACAGATCACCAAAACATAGATGCCCCTACAGCATTCAAAACAATTATTCCAGAAGAGATTTCCAATGAAAAATATGGCTGGAAACTGGCCTTTGCATAGTTGCAGTAATCCACAATTTCCTGGAGGTTGTGGTGTTTGGTGGGGAGCACGCGATTCCTCACATTGAAATTGGAATAGGAATCATTCTGGTGCACCTTCCCTCCTGGTCATTAAGCAACTTAGGAAGATGCCAAGCAGCAAGAGATTTTGCTTTGAAGCAGGCATCATAAAGAGTGATATGAGAAAAAATACTTAAAAATTATACATGACTAAAAATTGTGTTGGCTAAACCATTGTGTTGGCTAAACCATTGTGGAGTCCTGTAGCTTTGCAAGCGAGAGACCTGAGTTCAATTCCAGGCAGGGCGAAATTTTGGGCAAGTTTCCTTACTCCACACGCCTAATAATAATCCCTCCAAAACAAACAAAAAAAGAATAATAAAATTGATCATTTTCAATCTACGACTGTTTGTGGGACATTGCTGTGCGCAATTGGCTGCCGCGTTCGCCCACAAATATACAGTCAATTCACTTTACAGTATATTCTGTGAAGCGCTTTGGGACGTCTAAAAGACGTCATAATAATAATCCTTGCATTTGATATAGAGCCTTATTACGTCTTCGAAACGTCTCAAAGCGTTTCACAAGATACACTGTAAAGTGGATTGACCAAGGTGGCTGAGATGGATACACATTTAACTAGGAATTAAAATAGCTTGAGATCAACCAGAACTGCAAAACTAGAAACTCAGAAGCACAGCTAGTGAGTTACTAAATGATGTACCATCACCACTGTCAGGAAACATAATTAAATATAAACCATTAGTTATCAACAGAATACAACAAAATACACAACGGAAAATTGACAGTGACGCCACTATTGAAATGTTTTTATCACAAATCTAGAAGACTCGGCAAAGATTCAATACTCATCAAATTTTTCTTTGAGGATTCAAGGCTGTTTTTAGTTTTGTAGTTCTGGTTGATCTCAAGCTATTTTGGCTCGAGGAACTCTCATATACTAGAACATAGCAAAACAATAAACATTGCAACCTTCATTCAGCAGCTTTTATTTAAAAAAAACTTGCATTTGATATTGCACCTTATCTCATTGTTGAGACGTCTCAAAGCGCTTCACAGGATACATTGTAAGTGTACTGTGGAGTGACTGTAATTTGTGGGCGAAATAACAAGTTGTAAAGATCGACAACAGAAGGCAGGTGACTGAAATGGAAACTGGGCAATTTCTTTCAAATATTCTTTTATGTGACAGGCACTAAATGATTGCAAGTTGTTCTCATTATTAACTACAAAATTTTGATGTAATACATGAAATTCAACAACAACGTACAACGCTTTCTGTTTAAAATAACAACTCAGTTGGAGATTATACCACAGTGGTAGGCAAACTTTTCCATCTGAAAACGTATTTGACACAGATGGCAGCAGCTGGTAACTGATTGATGTTACTGAAAGACGAGAGGTTAGCAGTGCCATTCAGCAGATGCTTTACAATTAAGATCTTTTTATAATAGCACAATGCCGTCCTTATTGCAGTACTCTACATTTTAATAAATTGTTATTTCTCACAAGAGAAGATAATTTCAAGCTTATGCAAATTGGATTTAGAAGCCACTAAAAGCAAAATCGATAAACAAGCATAATAAGTACCTGCCTTATAAAATTGGAAGGAATTTAAAGCTAAAATTTGATATAAGTGCAAGGTTTCCATCTCACAGTTATAGCATTTCCTGGCCCTCCTTAAGTGAATTCCTAATAAAGGAATATTTATGTTAAATTACTAATCCTTTACAATATAGCATGTTCTCTGGTTAGATTTTATTTTCAAATTAATCATTGAAAATGCCTTGAAATGCCTGTTGATAATGCTACAAATTTACCATGAAATGATAACACATGTCTAAATTCAATTCAAAATGTATCTTTAAGATTTAGTGCTCACATATCCATTTTTATTAGTATCATGGGACAACTATTTGAATACTGTTTTGTGTGAATTACAAGTTTTGAAAGTGTGCACTGTCTTAAATCATGGAAAACCTGCAGTGTTTGTGAGTTCAGATAAATTGTTGGGCAAATCACAGTAGGAAAAGAAACAAATTGGAATGCCTTTGATATTGAAGCATATTAAAGTGACATGTTAGTAGTCTTCACTTCAACCAATCTGTCATTACAGCCTATAACACATACTGTGCTTTAAATAGCAAGATAAACAAATCATAAAAAGTTGAAATATTGGAATTATATTAGCTGAAAAGCATCAGTTAAGAAACTTATCTTGCCGTGGAGATATTTCTGTTGCAATTTCATACAATGTGTGGGAAAAGTGGCAGTGGTAAATTGACAATACATTACAAAATGTATATTTGTAGAGCGCTTTTCACATCAGAAAGACAATGTATGCCCACTGCACAGCCTCAAAAAAAGTTGCATTCAAGGATCATCCTGAATTAACTTCCTTTTCAAGATGGTGATTTAACAGAGGCAACAACAATAGCATCATAATCAATAATTGGGCAATTTATGGAAATTTGTCAAACACAAGGTTAAATCTTTGCCCTCTTTAAACATTCAGCTACGAGCTAATTGCTGTCATATATGCTACTATCTCATTCTCAATAGGAGCCAGATTCAAGTTCCATGTGTTAGATTGTATGGCTGGTTATTAACAACAATAAAATAGTAATAATAATACTAATCCTTGCATTTGATATAGTGCCTTATCACGTCTTCGAAACACCTCAAAGCACTTCATAGAATATACTGCAAAATGAATTGACTGTATAGTTTGGGGCAAAACGGGGCAGCCAATTACGCACAGCAGTTTGCCACAAACAGTTGTGGATTGAGCAATTTTTTAAAAGGGATTATTACCCCTGGAAAAACGATCCACCAATCAACTAACAACTGGGTACTACTTACTGCTTAGTAAACAGAGTTGTGTGGAGTAAGGAAACTGGTGTTACGCCCTGCCTGGGAATCGAACCCTATTCTTCTCTCTCGCTTGTGAGGCGAGTGCTCTAACCACAAAGCTACTGTATCATGATTCTTGGGAAGGTCAGTAGAACTAGGCAATTATTTTGTAGTGGAAGTGAAGGTATGATTTGCCTAGCAATAATAAGCTGTAGGTTAAAACAAAAATACTGAAATTCCACAGCAGGTCAATTGGCATCTGAAAGAATATTGGTCTCTTTTGGGTATAGCCCTTCATCAGAACTCAGATTACAAATACAGTGTTCACTTCTAATTCCAAATTGTAATTTCGTTATGAAGTTCTTGTCAAACCAATCTG